CTATGGGCTATCGCCAGCAATAACGTCATGTGCTTATTTACACTACAGCGCTGCACTGCTGTGCGCGGGACTTCCCTCCATACACACCCCCCTACCCCCGCCAGGCGGGGCGAACACTGTGCTCCACTCACCACATCAAATATTTGACAAGCAACTACGCGCGCGCGGGCTGCATGGCGCGGCAGGTGAGTGTGTGTGAGAGAGAAATAGAGAGAGGGAGAGAGAGAGAGAGAGAGATATGAAGTCCATCGAAATCATTGCGCTCGCCGACCGCTGACAAAAATCTAGCGTCGTAATGCGGTTAGTGGCGGTCGCACGCACCATTGGGCCTCTATCATTAGAGGCCCACGCCCTTCCCCCTAATTTGTACCGTGCGCCGAAAAAGTTACTCTAATTGTAAAATGTTTGATAAACGTCACTCACTGTTAACAGATTTGCCATGTTCCAAAATTTTGTTTGTAGAATAAAACTATGCGGTATCTATCAAGGGATATTTAAAACATTAGTAATTTTCGTGCAAGAGTATAACTGGGTGTCAAAGTATTAGCAAGTCAAAAAGTATTTTTTGCACTGCAGTACGTTACATTTAACCGCCCCTTTCCCCAGGCGCTGATGAAAAATGTTTCAGTCACCGTGATGCTGGAGGTGCGCCGTGCGCCCGTCAATGGGAACATGAAGTGTCGAGCGGGGAAGGCAACTGCACGCACCTCTATATCTCTGCGGCTTATTTCGTATGCAGCCTCGCTGCGCGCGCGGTGATAGCGCAGAGATAGCGGGTCGTCTAGTTTATGACCTGTTTGTTCGCAAGACGTACCGCGCAATTAGTGGATCCATACGCGGGGCCCGCCCCGCCTCGTCCCGCACGTTCGGCCCCGCTGACGACCCATTTATTCGCAAGGAGACGCAATTTGTCATACACATGTGAGTGTGGGTGTGGTGGTGGGCGACACACAAGGTTTCTAATGAGGAGCTGATGGGTGTGCGAGTGCGTGTGCGTGTGTGTGTGCGTGTGCGTACAGTTGATAAACCGGGGGGTCGTATGAGGGGAGGGAGAGGGCGTATATCACG